AACACACACATAGGTATTTCTTTGTTTTAGTTAGAGGGTAGTAACTTGAATATTTTCTGGCATTTGCAGCTTAGGCAGCAGCCCTTGAGACATAATCTAAACTCCTGGAAGCAGTATACATATTGCACCTAACTTTGTTTGCAGGGCGACTTGTATAAAATTACTGAATTTCATGTCTGTGCTTGAGATGGAAGCGCTCACCTTGCAGACTGTACATGAGACAACCTTGCAACTTGTTGTATCCCTTGATAAAATGCAGACAACATATTTCAATCTTGGTGGAGCAGAAGACTTTTCAGATAGTTTAGCTGTCAGTAGCACACAGTTGATTTCTAACTTGGTTTACAAGCTCCAAATTTAACTTTTCCATGTTGGATAATCTAGGCAGTGCTTTCTCTGAAGAACCCTGAAAAGATCTTTACATCAGTAGTAATTGTAGGGGCAAATTGCTGTTATGGTGAGCTATAATCATTTCAAAAACTGAAAATTTGCAGCTGCTAATGTAAGTTGAGCTAATAGTGCAGCTAGAKATGGTAGACAAGTATGTTGTACAGTACTGTGGAAGAGGTTTAAAAAAGACATTTYGTTTGGCTTTGACTTTTGGTCAATCATTACTCTAGTTTTGCAAGTGAGCTTAGTTTTAGGAGGTCTTTAAAGGGAACGTGTTCATATTCAGAAGCAAACGGCTTTCTCAAAGCCTGTTGAAGGGAAGCCTGYGTTACCAGGTCCATCAGTTCTTGCTGCTTTTACTTTTTGGAGACTGTTACAATCGATGATCTAAGATTAGAGTCATTTTTCCATTTGCTTGAATAAAAAGAATTCTTCCAACAGGACAACAGCCCAAAACTGTGCTAACTTTTCTGTTCAGAGTGTCATCCCGGTGATGTTGGACAGCACTTTGTGCAATTTTATATGGTAGAAGTGCCCAGCTAATTTTGGTGCTGTGACAGTGAAACATTACCTTCTGTCTGCTTCAGGTTTAAACATCTTTGTTGGAGACTGATGCTGACTGTGCTATAATATAAGAAACTGGCAAATAAGAAAGAAATGAGTTTTGTTCAAATGATAGGGGCTGGAGGGAGTTTAGGTGTTGCTTATGACTTTGATATATCTTGTTAGGCTTGTAACAAACTGCTCTGTGTTAACTGAATGATCTGTTACACAATACCTAGATATAAAATGTTTAAGAAGCCTATATTAAGATGCTATTATGAGCTTTTATCCTCCCACTCCTCCCCTCTTCGAATTGTGCAGCTAGTATTACATGATGCAACCTACAGAGTCTGCATCACTGAGTGGTGTCAGTGTGTCTGTCCTGGTGCTGCATGGACTTGTTCTTGGCTTTGGTAGAAGTGTTGCATCTCTTGCTTTGGAATGGAAAACACTGAATCTGTGCAGGCAGAAAAGATGAAATGAAACTGAAAACTTTTAAACCAGACATAATGTAGCCAGCAGGCTGTGTTGAAACAAAGATGCCTTCCAGACATTTGGTCTTATTAAATCTTTTTAGTATGCCCCTGCTCTCGTCTGAGTTAATCTTGCCTCGAACCTGCACGGAGGCAAAATGCTCTGAAGAATCTTTTTTTTCAATATGATCAAATACACTTTTGCAGACTGAATTTATTAAGTCYTAGCTATTCACTGAAATGATGTAAAATGCTATGTAAAGACTCAGGATTTGAGTTGATTGTTCCTGTGCAACTAGCACAGTCTGGAGCTCTGGAAATCAGTTACTAAGTCTCAGCAAGGGCCATTAGCTTCGCTCAGAGCAACAGGGACTTCTTCAGAGTCTTGAACTCAGTCCTGGTGAAAACACTGTTAAAAATGTTGGTAGCTGTGGGAGCAGCCACTGCTATAGGCTGTAATTATCAAGGATTTTTAAGAACTTYGTTCTGTAAATTCCTCTTAAACCCAACTGGGTTTAGGTTGAGTGGTGTTTGGAGTGCGTAGACATTATCTCTGCTTTTCTGAGCAGGAAAGCTCAACCGGCTGCGACTGTTTTCTCGTGGATTGAAACACTCTTCTTGGATGGGTAAGTTGAAGGGAAGTGTGAATCAACCCTAATGGAGGCTTATTTAAGTCTAGTGTGTGAAACCTGGTAATTCATTACCTAATACTCAAGAAAAGGAAGTCCTTTAGATAAAGGAAGTCCTTTATCTAAAAATATAAAGACTTTTAGATTCTGGTTGCTTATAGTTCAATTACTGGTATTTCATAAGGACAAAGCAAGTATTGTGGAGCTGCTGAGGTTCAGCAGGTTCACCTAACTGGAACACGACTGATTGCTGTGGTTCGTTCCTTGCAGCCAGTAAAATCTGTCACCCTTAACAGGAGCTGCTCTTTGTAGTCTCTGGATGCTTCCCATGGTCATACTCGAGGTTGAGTGTTGGTCACACTGTGGCTGGGCAATAGTTGGGTCTGTTGATGTGGGGTCRGCACTGCAGCAGGGCAGTGAAGGGTGATGCTCCTGTGCCTCAGATGGCCCCTCTGATTTGCTCAAATTTGCTTGGTGTTGTCAAAGGAAAGGCATTGCAATGTGGTGCCAGGATGACATACTGTGCAGGGCAAATATGTTTCAAAGAATTTACTGAGCGTGACTGAATATATTTGCTGCAGCTTTTCTGGCATTGATAATAAAATGATTTACCGTTTAACTTCAGAAAGCCCCACCCCAAAGGAATAATATTGTGCCTCATGTTAAACAGGATTCTATATTTCTGTTGGACAACAAAATGAGAACTTGTTTTTCTAAACCACATAAAGTGCCGTTTGGAGTTGATATGACAGTTGTGAGTAGAGTAGAAGACTAATGACTGCTCCTCTGGTAGCAAACTTTCTGCTGTTCCTCAGGAGCTCTGAACTGGAGAAAAAAGGCATTTACCTGACAAATACCAAATTCATAGAAATAATAAAGACAGTCATGTTTTGCATGCATTGCAAAGCTTGTTCAGACTTACAGAAGCCACTTGAGACTTAGGTGATGTTGGAAATATGACAGATTGCCAAATACTGTAGAATCTGATTTTTTAGATGCAGGTTCATGCTCTTCAGTAAAGATGCTACTGCTCTCTGCTCAGTGCTTCTATGCATGTACTTTGTGTTAAAGGAAGGCTTGATTCCAGTCATTATGCTGAGTTGAAATGGAGGAATTGGCTGGAAGACGTTGGTGTCGGGCACTAAAAGGAAAAGCCAGAAACCAGATACGGTGGTTTGTTTGAATTTAGTGCATAGTAAGATACAGTACAATGGCATTTATTTCAGTTGCCTTTACTAAGGTCTGCTCAGGAAGCAGAGGGATGCAGAGAGTTATTGTGCTGGAAAAAGACCTTTAAGGCCCAAACTCAAGGTGGGGATGGGAGTAGAGTAGCTACGTTTGCAACTCCCCTGGCCTGGTAATATTCTGACGTTAGCTGGTATGGCAGACACTGCTGGACTACCTCCCAGTCCTGGGGATGCATACTGGTGGTTCCCTTCAAGTTTAATAAATAGCATTTAGGAGCCTAATTATTGTTGAGCATTGTCCACTTCTCTTTGCTCTTCATTGGTAATTTGGGAGTGCCTGGCCTGAATAGCAACCTAAGAAAGGATACAAATTATAACTTGATTCTGTTTGAGAGCTTCCATTACTGTCTGGGGTAGTCACCTGAGATGAAGTATTTTTTGGAAAACTGTTTCCTTCCTTTCTTTGTTTTAAAGTTTGCTTTTACTCTTCAAATGCCAGCTCTGTATTGACATAAACTTTTCATCTCCTCCATATGTTGAGATTGACATGTTTCTCAGTTGTGACAGGCAGAAAATCCAAGGAAAATTATAGAGAACACTTGTCTCTTCCTTTATAATGCAAGTAATTGTTAGCTTATTTTACAAGGCTTCAGTATGTAGGTTTGTGGTTACCTTAGTGATAGCATCAATGTCACCCTCCTATGCATGCATTTGGCAGTCAATAGCAGTTTATTATGTGAATGTTAGGAAGCTGAAAATGTGAGGAAAAACCAGTGGCCATTTAGTTAGAGCAGTCTGCTTGATGAATTGCAGCTTCTCAAGTCTCAAACTAAGCAATTATATGTGTTGAGGGATAAGAAATGTTTCTGCATGTTGACTTGTTTTGCTTTCTGAAATGGGTTATCCACTATAAGTTCTCCCCTGATACTTCATAGAGAAAAAAATGAGTTTTTATTTCTTCAAGCTACATAGTCTACTTGGATCAGTGAAATAGTGTCGAGTTGTTGGATAGTCCGTATGCTGTTATTGTGTTTACTTTCTGCTGATGGAATATCTTGCTCGTTTTAGAGTATTGCAACACCTAAARGTCAAAATCAGGGATAGAAGTAAGGCATAAGTGAGACCCAAGTTGTATAAATTAACTGTTGGTGCTTATTAACCAAGGAGAGTGTAGCAGTTGTGGTATGGTAGCTCCAGGTTTCATGCTKTCTTTAGTAGCGGTACGTTAGTAGATATTAAACATTTAAATAAATGTCTTTTAGTAAAGAACTCATTTAAATGAAAACCTAAGAGAAACCAATTTGAAATCTCTTCAAATAAGAACTTTTACCAATARCAGTGGGCTCCTTGTTAGAGGCTGGGGGTAAGGGGTTTTGATGCRAAGGGGTTTCCCCAGTAAGTCTCTCCCAGAAGACTTAAAACAAATACATTGGTAGTGCGTAATAACAATCTTTAGAGGTAATTGTGTAAATGTAGTTCTCATTTGGAGCCAGGTTTTTGCTGAAACTTTCTGTTAAATTTTCAAAGGTATTTAGCTGTTGAATATCCAGAGGTCATTTATTAGGAACTTTAAATGAAGGTTATTTGGAAACCTAGATTGAATTTCATGTTCTTGAAGTTAAAAATTGTTCTTTATGGCAATGCCCCATCTGACTTCTTGAAGAGAAGAATTAACTCCTGTCTTTCTGAGTTGTTTCCTTCCCAGTGTGCTGACTACTTCAGAAGTAGCAAAGAATGGCTGGARAATGGGCAGCCAACTTCTTTTTTTWATGTTGCAGACTTGGTTACAGAAAGCCTTCCACATAATTGGGCCGTACTTTTGGACAGACTTATTTTCTACTAAATGAATTTTAAGTTTAAGGTAAGATATTGTTTAACTTGTCTTGCTATCCATAGAATGACATTTGGAAACACGTTGATCTTTTTATTGCTTTTAAAGATCAGTGTGATTTTTTTTAGTGAATACATAAAATAGTTCAAGATATGACTATGCTCGTTAAAGAGAAGTTGAGTTGAATAAATCTAATATGCAGGTATTAAAGCTTAAGTCAACATGATGATTATTAGCCAGGAGAGTGTTACTTATTGACTATTTTAACCAGCTTCCAGAAGACTAAGGGGTATAAGTGCCTGAGTTCTTTAAGTCCTAAAAGAAAAGACATTGCCTTTCATTGATATGAGAACTAACAGCTGAGAAGATGACTAACTAGGTTCTACTGTAACATACGTAAGAAACGTGCCAAAAAACATGGAAAAGTGATYACTAGTCAAATGACCAAGTTATTGTCATTGTTGTATTGTCTACTCTTGTGCTTTGAAAAGCAAATATATAACATGGTAAGGCTRGTTTTGAGCGAAGTGCTGATGAATCTTGCTCTACCCTCTCAAGCTCTTGGTGTTATCTTGACCTTGCTGTTCTAAATGTGTCTCTGGCTCTGCATCCACATCTGGAAATGGTGCTCATGATACTGAAAGGTCACTAATGGAATTTTGTGCTACTATCCTCCATGTTTGAAAAATGTCTTTAATGAACTTTCAGAACAGCCTACGATTAATATAGCATGTAGTTTGTCAAATTTGTCAAAAGACAAGGTTATGTAAAGTGAAATAAGCAAATAATTATTTAGAATATAGTGTTTATTGTAGGTATATTGCTAAAGATGGCTGAATGATTAATACTGGCAAGCACTTTGTGTAATTATGTAGGTAAAGTCAAGTATTTATAAAGCATTCTTGCAATCAAACCTGCCAGGAAGACCCTCTTTAACTGTTGTGCTTTTAAGAGTTATTGGTGCATTAAATACTCTTTGCCTATGCTTCTCTTTTCCTTGTTCTACTGATGCTGTTAGCAAATCATGGGCATCAAGTGTGATATCAAATATGGATGAAGATATTCAATAGCTTTTAATAAAATATTATTTCTCACTGTAGTCATGCTAATTATGTTTGGCTGACCAAGTGACTGAGCTGTATTAGTAAATACTTACTCATCAGACATGGTGGATCCTTTTGGGAGCATTCTTGGTTTCTTGCGAATGGAGATTTTTTCCCCAGTAAGCATCTTCACTTCATCCCTGTTGGCCTGCTTTGTGAATGAATTACTCAAACTACACACAGATTTTTCTCTTTGTCAAATATGCCAGAATTACTAACTTTAGTATATCTAAATGAACAGCAGCAGAGTCATCTTGAGAATGAAATGTCCTTTAGAAATTTAGTATCCTCTTTGCATGAGATTTTCATTTCCTGACAGCTGTAAGACATGCCTTAATATGGGAAGGTAAGATCTTTTCGAGAGCGCTTCCTATGAGCCCAGTATGGTAAGCATAAGTCTGAATCTAAAGTTTGTTTAGATTACATCTCTTGCAGTCTGTAGAAATAGCTTGAGAGAGTACCTTTGAGAATTGGAAATGAACTTATGTTGTTTTATACAATTTTGAGCTAAAAGTGTCCCGGGAGTGGCAGAAAATACTCACCTGTGGAATTACTGTCAATAAGCAATAGGAATAAACTGTTACCAAGGAAAGCTTCAGGTTCCTTTCTGCATGCAGGCCCTGGAAGGAAAGCAAAATCTGAAAACTGCTGTAATGCTCTTGGCTGGCTTTAATGTTGTGCAATTCTCTTTGCAGAAATCCCATTCAGAGGAAGACTTTGAGGGATAATGACAAGGTGTTTGCTTGGAATTTTCTAACACAAAAATGCCCAAGGAAGCTGCTGCTTGCCTCTCTGCCAGTGCTCAGTGGTCTTGCTGCATCAGATAGTTCAAGGTATTAAGACATGAGAAACCTGGGGATGTTGAAGTAAACTCCACTATAAGGCTTTGAGGGGATTGTTCACTTGTCAGTGATGCGGTATAAATTTCAGAATACTTTATGCTGCTGAGTTTATAGGTGGATTGTGAAAAGAAAATGCTGATGTGTCTCTTTGTTTAACTAGATGCCAGAGGAATATCAGTTGGAAAAAGAGCTAGGCAATATGTTTTCATTGGGTGTTGAGTGAAACTTTTTAAATCAAAAAAACAGATGGTGAGGAAGGGTTTTCTGCTTAAGAAGCATGGACCTCCAGGCTTCTTTTTATTTACTGAATTCACATTCAGTAAATAATATCAGTTCTTAAAAGAAAAAGTAGGGAAAAAAAGCTATGTTTTATTAGGAGGTGATCTCATGAAAACATACTTGTCATTTTACAAAGTTGAAGACAAKGTAGTCATATTTACTGTACTATATATATTACCAGTTATTTTTGCTATCTTAGTGGTGGGGATGGTTGAACAGCCTTTTCTAAGGCAATATTAATAATACAATACRTGAATTATCGACTAACTCTGAAGATAAGTTTTATACCTTAGCATACCTATCTTTAGCTGCAGCCACTGCAGTTCAGAGGGCAGGCAGTTCACAATTAGATCTTGGGCTTCAAGAAGCCTGAGTATTGCTCCCTTGGTTCTGTGTCTTCAAGGAAGACCCTATGGTGTTTGTGAGGACAAGAACCTGATAGTAATTGATGAGCAATTTGAAATGTGCATGACACTTATCTCAAGAAAATCGCTGTGTAAATAAATGCCTGGTGGAGGAAGGCTCTTGTATTCAAGTGCTGTTTGTGACAAAGCATGGGGGGGAAGTAGCCTGGGCCAGAAGGTAATGTAGACAAATCAGTAGTAGAATTCAAGTCTCTTTCCAAGAACAGTGCCCTAGAGCTGCAGGTATTACTTTAAAGTTGTATTAATAGTTTCCCTTAAGCCTKGAAGTTGTACTTAAAACAACTACTGTACTTTTTCTTTCCACAGGAAATAGGCACTTCGGTGAAGAGCATAGCTGTGACACAGCACATAAGTAAGTAGGAAACTAGAATAAAGTTGCATTTCTTCCTGAGGCTGGATAAAGTCCGGTTTTTAGCACTTGGTTTGCTTTGTTTTTAACTTTTAATTCCAGTCTTTTGGTGCTTTTCCTATTTTGGAGGAGGTGAGTATTTTACACGAAATAGAACATAAACACAGCTCAAAACTGTTAAGGAATCTGCAGATCATTTTAATGCCAAATAGAGAATGGATCGAAAAGTAGTGATATCGGGGTTAGGTTGTGATAAGCAGGAGAAGTATTGTGCAAGAAAACATTGTTTCACTCCTGTCTTGCAGTGCAGCTGCTTTGCAGTAACAGTAAGGTAGATCTGAGGGAATAGAAAATAAAATACAGTAGCATAAGGATTTTTTTCATATAATGGAACAGTTCTGTGGGAATGAGAGGGATGTAAAAGGCTTGAAAAAGTAGGTCATGTAAGTAATCTCATGCCTATGCAGTAGAATCCTAGTGCATCCTGTACCTCCTTCAGGTAGGTAGTACAAGATATAGTACAATGCTTAATAATCAGTGTTTTAGGTAAGTATCTTGCAAAAAGCAGTTGTTTGTGGTGTTYAAAAAAAGCTAACATCACTTGTGTTTGTAGTTATTATTCTTTGATAGACATGGTAATATATTACTTTAAATTTTAATGCCCTAAATGTGTTTTTGGGGAGTATTCTGTACTTATTTTACATGAGGAAAATGGTAATTACATTTTCTTATTCTCCTGTCTTAAGTCTGTTGATGAAATTACTGAAATTTTTGAGGGTTTTTGTTATTTATTCATCAGACTGTAAATATATTATTCAGAGCTTCCGGTACAGTGAACTTTCTGTTGAAGCTGGAGTTGAAGGATGCTGAGGCTGCTGTTACAATATAAAGGAGGCATTTAAATGTATGATGTATTGCTTGAGTCTTAAATTTATGGCTAGAGCAGTCARTTGTTCAGAGGTGATGGGGGAGGAAGAGAGTGAGTTGTAGCATACCGTGTATTTGCACAGATAAGTGGRCAACTGTCATTCGTATCTTCTTTTTCAGCTAGCACTAAGTACAAAAGAGTTAACAGATTTTTCATTGAGTACTGGCATTACTTTTTYCTGTATGCCTTGTGCTTTGTACAGAAATAGTGTGTATTAAAACATCCAGTGCTTTGCACTGTGTGCGGAAGAACACAACCTTGAGGTGATGATGTAAATGTGGATGTGGACTTCCATTAAGAAATAACCTTCCTTGTGCTTTTATGGTGGGAATTTAGGAGGGGGGCTATGAAATAGTCTAAGATAGATTCAAGCTTTGCTCAATACTCATTATATATAATGTATAATAGTATAGCTCAGTATAATAGCTTAGGCTTTGTGTTTTTCTGTGTATTGTTTCTTTAAGCTAAGAATTGTTTTCAGAACATATTTAAAAGCTTAAGATGAAGAGTGTTTGATATACAGTGTAAAGGGCTCATATAAATAATCYTCACAGACAAGAAGAGCTGATTCCTAGCTGGGCCAGCTTGCTGAGTGGCAAATTGAGCCTGATTATTTTTTAACAAATGGGACTGCATGAGTCTTGCTGCTTGGAGCTGTGTTACTTAAAGGGTTGGAGAAGTTTCATGTGGTGGTGAAATGAATGAATCTTCTTGTGCTGCTTTTGCCTCGACTGGTCTTTGTCAAAATCTCTTTTCTTTTTGCATCTTTCCTGACTGATGATCTAGAAGGTCCTTTAATTAAAGTCATTGGTTAAAAAAAAAAAAAAAATGGCACGTGGGTAGGAGCTTGGCACATATAGAAAGTGTATGAGAAGGAAAACTGAACCAAATCAGCCTTGTGATGTTGGCTGCAGAAATTGAAATGAATCTGAGAGTGAGCCATTGAATATGAAATGATAACATATTGGAGCGACAGCAATGTCTTCAACGCTTGTTTCTTAAGTCTTTTTCAATAGGTTGGCATAAAGTCATTTTGTTGTGGTTTTCCCTCTAAGGATGTGAACCAAAAAGTATTTTTAAACTGAAAACTTGGAACTGTTGGTCCTGAAGCCATGAAATTTCCAACTGGGAAATCCTGTTGCCCTACTTCTTGCAGCCTTCCCTAGCATAAAATCTTTCTAAGTGGAAAATCTGCAGGTAGAAACCCTACAGGGAGAGTAGGTGTCGGTACCTGATTTGCAGCTCAGTTGCTGGCATTGCTGAGCACTTTATGCAGGTTTGACTATTTAAGACTCTCTTCTGATTTGCACCTAAATAACCATTAATAAGAAATCATTTATCTCTGAGGGCTACCTGATAAGTATCTTTTTAGGTGGCCAAATTGGTAGCTGTTGAAGGCTAAAATCAAGTGGAATATGTGGACACCTTGGCTGGAATTGTGTGCAAAGGTAAGACATAGTGCCTGTGACTTTTTCAAGTATGCTCTCAGGCTGACTTCCAATTTGTTGTTGGATATTTATTACTGTCTCAAATTGAGATACTTCTGGGTTCATTATGACAAACTGTGACTGAAATCTTTCGAGAGGCTGGATATATTGCAGAGTATAGGAATGAAATGTGTTCTGGTCAGTTGTTTTTCTGAGTTTGAAGGTATATCCCTGTCTGAGCAGTTGAGGCAAAGAAGSTTCTGGTAGGTTCCTTTTTTTCTGATACAACTACATTTTTTTCTAAGGGATTCTTTGGGGGGTGTAGTTGATAATTCTCTTGTGAATTTAAAGGGGCAATTGAGGCTACAATTCTACAGATTTTGCTGTAGTTAAGCTAGTATTTGTGCTACAGGTATACATATCTAACCTGATATTCTTAGTTGTGCATGGGAAAGTATGTGTGTTCATATACATCTGTGTATGTGGGCATGTGTATGAGTATATRGGAGTTGAGTAAGTGTGCTCTTCACAGGTAGTACATCCTTGTACACTCCTCTTACATGAGTAACCCGAAGGTGCCTATGAGAACTAATAGTGGTGGGACATACGAAATACAGTGTTTTACATTAATCTTGAAACGGGCTTTGCTACCAAAAACAAGTGAACCTCATGAACACAGACTCCATCCTCCACAGTCTCTTACTTTTAGGAAGAGATTTGTAGTAATTCTGTTGTCAGCCTCCTTGTGAACATGTGTAGCAGGTACTTGTAGCAGGTTTGACCTTAGCTCAGCATGCTTACTGGCAGGGTGCCAGACTAAGTSTTATTTGATTGATGTATATACACATGCTGTCACAGCCAACTAAAAATTCATCTGTATTTTATGACCTGTTCTATTGTCTCCAGTGTCCAAAAGTAGTAGGCACTCTAGCTTCTGTCATGGTCTCTTCAGAGATTTAGTTTTTCTTCAAGACCAATTCCAGAAACTTTCATATGGATTATCAATGGCTAAGAACCGAGACACCCTGTTTTTCCTTCTTTCCTCTTCCTTCGCTCTCATCAGTTGGTAACATCAGTAAATGAAAGGGACGTTCGACTCATTTAAGCTTGCTACAATACCCTGTGAAAATTCTTTGGTAATCTAGCTAGACCTGAAGATGCTGTTGCTGCTTAGAGCCTGAATATGAGGCTCTTTCTTTTTTTCCTCTTATTTTTGTAGCTAAGTTGGGCATATGTTGTTGAATGCATCTTGTAATCTGCAGACTGCACAAACTGCAGCGTATGCTGCTGGAGGGTGTGCCAGGGTGGAATGTCATTATTGTATGGTTCTGTGAGTGCTTTTTAGCAAAGGGGGTATGTTGAATTATTATTGTCATCACCAACATGCAGTGTTTCTTGTACATTTTACTCCTTCTGCACCCTTTATCTACACAACATGAAAATTAATCAAAATAGTAATTTACATTAAAAATGAGTTCACTCATTGATTTCAGATTGTGATTGCTTATGAGCAAAGGTTGTCTGAATATTATGACAGATACAAAGTCAAGCCAAGGCACTTAAGAGGAAGTCTAACCAGAAGTTAGACTCGGGTAACAGTTGGCTTTATTGTGAGTGTCATAGATGAACTATTTGCCATTGTAGTTTGTCCATGGCAATGATGGTGGGATACACTGCAGCAGCTGTGTCTGGTCATGGCAAGTTGAAGAGACATCATTGCTTAAAATGAATCAAATGTTAAAAAATGAGAGAGAGAGAGAGAGAGAACATAAAAAATGAACAATGTGTTAGAAAACATGGACACAAAACAGGAAAGTAAAAAGCAGTTCCTGAATATGGATTCATAGAGCTGCTGCTCAGCTTGTGCTTATGTTGATGTGTATTTCTTACACTTTTTCTGTGTGCTGTTCCCTTTATTTTGTCCTGAGCTTGGCCATCATGTCAGCCAAATAACTTTACCGGTGTTTTCTTTGTTCTCTGGGCCTCATTTGGTCTCAGGGAATCCACGTCAGCAACAAAGTTCCGTTATGTGGTAGTTTTATCTCAAATGTCTGTTAGATGTTGAAAAACGACAATGTGCTTGTCTTGATGTACAACGCTCTAAAAGTCTCACCCCAGAAGCTMTGCTTTGCCAGGCCCCTGAGATGTGTGTGCAGAGGTGTTTCAGGGAGAACTTCCATCACCTGGGCATTTTTATCTGATTTCTAGCAATACTGATTTGGTGTCTAAAAAGCATTTGATTCTGTTAAATGGCCACGGTGTATTATTGTCCAAAACACTAATGGTGTATTCTGAACTCTGTTTAGACGCATCACTTTGAAAAAGCCTGAGGACATGCAGAGTGTGTTTGAACCACAGTAGATAGACCCATTAGCTCATTTCCTAGCTGTGTCATGTAATGACTAAATTAACAACTCTGAAATGGCTTATGTCATCCTGGGTTGGGACAGTTGCCAAGAAGTCACAGGCAGAGTTCAGAACCTTGAGTGGCTCCTTTTGAATTAATCCAATAAAATGAAGCATTGAAGTGAATGTTCYCAAATCCAGATGCTGCAGCTTAGTTAACCCCCATTCAAAAGATTGTAGCAKTTCATCATTAAAATAGAGCAAATATGCAGAACTCGGCAAACCTGGATTTAACAGCCCAT